TTCAGCACAGTACCAAGGCTCAGTTACTACTTAAAAAGAAAGGTTTGCCAAGCTGAAATGCTTTAGGACTCCTTTGATTTCCAGGCCATAGAGTAAGCTGAAACTGTGTAACAAAAACACTACCATGATGAAAATTTGTTTTAACAATCTGATCAAAATTGTATAATTTTAAATACACAGCCAACAAATAATTATAAGCCTGAAAGAAGGTAAGAACACCAACTGCAGAGCTTGGATAACGAAAAAAAAATCTTTATTGCTATTATCTTTCATGAAATCAAATGGTAAGAGTGATTCCTTCCACCTCACAAGAAATATTGAGGAGACAAAACTGAAGGGATTAAGTCATCTTCATTTAAGTTTATTTGTAACATTTATATGGTGGAAGTAAAGACTCATTAATGCTTTTTGTCTGGAGTTATGGAAAAAATAAATCATGATAGCAGGTAAAATTACCACTCTAGGTACAATTATCTTAAGAGATACAGGCATATTTAACTAACAAGTGGTAGGTGAGAATGGAAGGCAATGTTAGAAATATTTTAAGTATTACCCTCCCTAGGTATGGTAATAGAAAAAAACATCCTATTTTGCAGAATCTACCTGAAAAATATCACCACAAACCACTCATACTTGTAGCATGCTACCATTCTTCAAAACAGTAACTTTTACTTTGTATTTACTATCTACCAGGTATTGTGCTAAGTGCTTCACATGCTGTGTTTAACTCTGACAAACTTATGTTGTAGGGATTACCCACTATAGATAAGGAAACTGAGGCACAGGTAGGTTAAGGAATTTGTTCAAGGAATTTATATCCAAATAAGGTATAAATGACATGTATCTTTCCAAACTTATAAGAGATTAAACACAGAAGTTTAAAATTTTTGTAAATACGAAATGCATCTACAGCAATTAGAATTCTAATTTTAGCCCAACTATTTGTAAGTACAGATTATTTTTGTCCACAGAACTGTAGTTTACACGATAAATTCTCTCAATTATGTTAACTTAAATGACATTCAAAATTTTGAAAGCACAGCTAATACCATAATATGACCACCTCTAAATTTTATTTCATTTTCTGAGAGGCTTGTAAAGCAAGCGTGCCAACGACAGACTTAACTCTTAATTTTGGAACGGGTCTCCTTTAAGCTTTAAATCTACTGGGTCTAGTGTAAGCCCAACCTTGCCATTACATCTACAGGGGGGAAAGAGGAACACTTAAAACTGACACGGGCGCCTGCCCTTTCAATTTTCCCTGCTTTATTAATTTTTTTCACTTGAAAGTCAAAGGACATAAATGATGTTTTCAGTAATGAATTCAACAGCTAATATGATTAATTTCTAAAATTTACAAACTTGCATGCTTTCGTATTCTTAACATATGAACATTATTTATGCTTCTGGCCACCTGTTCATGGTTCCTCTATTACCTCTAGGTAATAAAATGAGTCTAATTTTAAGGATTAAGTTTCTACATTAAAATATATGTAAAAAGAAAGATAAAACACATGCTACTTCGCAAAAACAAAAATTAAATATTCATCTAATTTTGCTATATGAAATACTCTATACTTATAATCAGCACAGCCATGTTTCTATCCCAACCATAAGTATCAGATTTCTAAAAAGAATGAAAAGTTATGTGAAAATTTAGAAGAGTGGAAAAAGCCACATAAACATACTAGTACAATTAGCACTTGAGCTAATTAATAGGAAGAGGGGAGCACATTTTTGAAGGCTAGGATCGTGCTCTGAATTTCCTAATGGTGATGTGATGTAATACTGGAGAGCCGCCGAAGGGAAAGGGATAGGCTGACAAAGGGGGTGCAGATGCCAGAGTAAGGGATAAGCCTGCGGACAGCAGGAAAGAGGTGGGTCACTAGGGAGCAGGAGGGGTGTACCCTACAGAGAATGACTTCAGGGAGTGGCGAAGTGGCCGCACGAACAGAGGGCACCAGGAGCGTAGAGCAGGGGCGCAGAAAGCTCACGGGGAAACGGTGTGACATCTGGCGTGCGGAGCCGGCAGGGGGCAGCGCAGGCAGGGTGTCACGTGGAGTGGGCGCTACGGGAGCCGAGAGGGCTGCGTGCGGACAGAGGGGGGTCTTTCCCACCGCCTGAAAGACTGCGTTACTCACAGGAGTCGCGGACTCTTCTTGCCCTGAACTGGAGACGGGGACTTCGTGGCCTGGGGCTGCTGCCCTGGGACGTCGAGAGGCCTGGCGCTGGGGCTGCTCCTCCGCCGGCGAGGATACTCGGCCTTCCTCCGGCGGGACACAGCGGCAGCGGCGGCGGCGGCGGCGGCCGCAGCGGCCCGGCCTCTGTCCCGACCACCCCTCAGCACGCGGCTGCTAGTAGTCCCTGCAGGCGCCGCCGCCGCCGCCTCAAGGGGCGGTTGTAGGGGCTCCTCCGGAGCCGCCTTGACCGCCGCCGCCTCTCCCCCTTCCTGGTCCTGCTGCTCCGGGGGTCTCGGCTCTTCCGTCTCCCCCGGCATCGGGGCTTGTCCGTCCCCCACCCCCTCGTCCCAGACGACGGAGGCGGAGGTAGCGGCGGCCACGGCGCTACTCCCCCCGCCCCCCTCGCCTCCGGAGCGTCCGGCTCACTCTCACCCTGCGCTCCTCTTTCCCCCCTCCCCTCCGCCCGGCTCCGAGGGCGCCCCCCCCGCCCCCTGCCACTCAAGGTTCGCTACTGCTGGCGGCGCGCGCGCGCCCGCCCGCCACAGACGCTCAGCGGTCCAATTGGAGAGGTGGAAAGGCTTCCTTGCCCCGCCCCTCGAGGTCTCACACGCAGCGACGTACCCAGTTCCCTCCTCCGCCCCTTGCTTCTACCAATCAGGAAACGGCTCCAAGGGAGCGCGCGAGGTTTTCTTCCCCGCGCACCCGTTCTCACCGTTAAACGGCTGCGTCTCGCGACAATCCCAAAGTGACCTTTTTCCCCCCCTCTGGAGTTTACTGCGCGTTAGGGGCAGTGGGAGGGGCAGGTATCGCAAGGGAGGTGGGTGGGAAGAAAACGCACCTCTTTCCCCGCCTCACGCGCATCCTTGATTGGCTGCGCGCGCACCTGCCTCCCTAAGGCGCCGCGAATGCCACAAGGGCGCTTTCTATCGTTCTTCCTTAGGCCGCAAAAGTAGTCTGGGCGTTCTTCCGCTTCCACCCCGACCTCACTTTCCTGTCTCTGGCCTTCCTGTCCCTAGCGCCGCCAGGTCGTGCGGGGAGAAGTGGGGAATATTTTTGCGCTGTCGCTTCTCCTTTAAGAAAAAAAGCCCCGTCGGCTGCCGGATGAAAGTCTCTGAAAAAATGGCGGCGATAGAATGGAGGCGGGGGTCGTGGGCAACGAAGACCCGCCTCCCGGCGCCTGCGCGCGGTTAACTAAGTCAAGGGCATCCTGGGAGATGAAGTCCTATTTGTCGTACGCTTTAGGGAAAAAGATAGGAAGCCGGAGGCGGAGAGGATGCTGGGAGATTTTGACTGATTCATGACGGGAAAAGTAGTTTACTCTCCGCAGTTCCAGTTTATTTTTTTAGGGAGGCAGTGTTTCCGGGTTAGGCCGCGACGGCTGCCTTACATCCGGGCTCAAATGTTGAGCCAATTGCTGGTCGGGACAGCGTGGGAGGGTTTTTCCTGTTTTTTTTTTTTTCTTTATAACTTGACGGCGTAGTTTTTACGGGGTGGCCACTTAATAGCCCTTTCTTGCCTTGGTTAGGTCAGGTGACACCTCTGGGACTGGCTGTCGTTCCTGTCTACGGTGGGATTCGTCTCGTCACCCAGTGTCTGACCTGCTCACCTATGAGCCCTTGGAGCTCAGGGACTGAATCTGATTCCGTCGGGTCTTTGGGGTCCTAGCACAATGCCCACTACTAAGTTGGCTCTTAATAAAATTTGCGAAACGAATTGTAAAATTGCTTTCTTAGTAGACGTTGTTGGGGCATCAAGGAGCTGGCATCTGCTGCTTTACGTGGCTGTGGTCCCCGACCTGGAGGGAGGAGTGAAGGGTTGTTAGCCTGACTCTGGTAACTTACACAGAGAAGCTGAAGGTCTCTGTCTAGCTCCCCGCCCGGAAGCCACCTGCTTCTGCGGTTTGTAAATGTTTCTGCTACACAGGAAGCACAGTCGGGATAGCAGCTTTATCAGAAATTACTTTTTTGCCCACAAGCATGTGTAGGTAAGTTGTCTTCCTGGTGCATGAAAGGGAGTTTCCATTTGCTCATCTCCAAGTTACACTCGGTGATGCGGTGGTCCTCTCCCATTCCTTCCTTTCATCCATTATAATAAAGGAACGGTCTAGAAGAGCAGTCCTTTAACCCTGAAAAATAAAGCATCTGGGGTTAAAAGCTCCAGAAGAAAGAAGATGGAAATAAGACCTGGGTATCCAATTCTAAATTTCACATTAATCATTTAAACTGTAGACCCGTGCATTTTTCCTTCCAGTATTTTGACTCAGTTAACACTTTAAAATTAAGTAGAGGTTTTATATTCTCTACTGACTATTTTGCACTTTCACAGGGCTAATGTCATTTTCAGTTGTAATAATTGTGGCATAGCGTCAATGGGAATTTTTTCAAACTGCATTGAGCAGACTTTTGGAACAGCACTGACATCCAATGGCTGCTCAAAGTAATACAGAGGGGGAAATCCATTCCCCCCCCAAAAAAAAGAAGTCTTAGAAACACAATGGAATGGAGAATTGGAGAATGAATGATTCTTTTGAAAAAAAGACCACTGTGTTGTAGAAAAAAGATCACAGACTTTGGAGTTAAATCTGGATTGCATAATAGTAAGTAGCAAAGCTACTGATTAATTATTATCTTGGCAAGTTACTATTCCTTGAACCTATTTCACCACTGGTAAAAATAGAGATAAAATCAATTTCCCAGGGTCATAATTATAGTTCTTTATATAGTGCCTTCTCACAGTAGGCCTTTTGTAAATGTTTTATTCAAGGTGAACAAAATCACAGTGCTAAAAAAGGTGAAAAGCTAACCCCCAGTGTCACTTTTAAGAGAAACTGCTATAAGGCAATGTAACTAGCTGGGGAGTATACTTAATTAAGATGTCCTCAGTTAAGCAACTGGTATCTTAAACCTTCCAGCTTCATTCTTCATGATCCCTATATATGTTTACATTTTGGACCACTGAATAAGCTAGGCCCTGAGAATGGAAACATGAATTACTTCTGCCCTACTTTTAAAGGAATTACAATCTATGCAGGAAATTACCTGCAGGAAAGCAGGTACGTATAAATTCTGAATAATTAAGTACATAAAGAGAGCAAAATGAACTGGATGCAGGTTAACTCTGATGAAAATTTTAAGGAGACTATGCCTCTCTGGTCCCCCAGCTTCACAGAAAAAAAGAAAAAAAAACTGGATAGTCAGTTACAGTGGGATACCTATACTTGGGAAAAACACAAGTGTAAATCTGCCATTCCCATGAATTCAGGATAAATCTTGGCACATAAGTAGGTGCTCAAATTTTGTAAAATTAATTTTGATTCTTTATCACCCTGGTCAATACACTACCAGAACTCAAATCTTACTACTTGCCTTTCTATGTCAATCCCATTTTTAAAACTGACCTACCAAAAAACAGAAAAAGAAGAAGAAATTCACCAAATCAAAAGAGAGGAAGTGCTAAGCAAATACAGGAACCAAAAAAGGGTTATAGAGGCTGCTTTACACTGTCTCATTCAGTTCCTTTGTGGTCCTCCTCTTCAGCACATGCCAAAGGAGTTCCTCACAACCTGTGAGACAAGGGCATCTTGGATGTGGGACAATGGAAGAGTTGGGTGAGTAAGGAGCTTCTTGACAGAGACACTCTGAGGGAATGAAGACTTGGCTGCCCTCTCCACGTGTGGTAGGGTATACTTCTAGCCAGATTGAGAATAGTACTGGAAGATTTTATTTTTACTTCTGTTCTCGGCCCAACCAAGGGGAAACTTGAGGAACTATGATTTTTTTTTTTTTTCAGGAACTTTGGGTTCACTGTTCGAAGTGGCAAAATAGGCAAGAGTTTGGTCTAACCACAGAGTAAACGCTTACCAAATACTTTGGGACTGAATTGTGATTGAAATTATCATTTCATTATGGCCATTTTTCTTCTTGGGATCTCCAGTAGCTAGGCACCCACAGCTAGGTAACCACAGAGATTTGATTTGGAGAGAAAAAGAAAGAAAACGGCGGCAGGGCGGGGAGTGTTCAGAGGAAAATGGAATAGAAGTACAAAAATGAGGGATCTGCAGAGGTTGGAGAAAGGCCAGAGTGGTTTCATTTGTTCCATGTGTTAGTATTAAATCAATAAGTCAGCACTCTAATTCCAGTGATTTTGTTGCTAAGCTTTTTATTCAGAGGAATTGTGAAGGAACAGATTACTATGGCCTAAAAATATGATGCTTCCTTCCACGCTACAACAATTAAAACTAGCAGTGGAACTATAAGCCACATTGCCCAGAGAATTTCCTCATTTCAAACCTTTAGAATAATGTAAGGTTTGTCATTCTTGGGATTCATGTCATAGGCTTTGCCAACTTTTGTTGCCAGCATCCTAAATAACAGTGAGTCACTAACCTTTACCCAAATTCCAAGCTGTATTAATTCCACAGTGTCCTGGGTTTGTGTATGTTTGGGTTAGGGGGTTTCAAAAGTGCAAACAACAACCACAACAAAGATATCTTGCACGTTGTCTTTTTTAAAAAATTGTTTGGGGTATAATTTTAAAGCTGGAGAAATAGAGAAACGAAAAAGGGCAAATAACAGGAGGGAAGATATGTTAATGAAGAGAACATGGTGGTGTTTAATAAATATTGAACTGTATTGGAGGTAAAGCCTATTTTGATACTAGGATAGACTCTATTTAGGACTTAGGGTAGAATCTAAATTCTACTCATCTGTATGTTGGGGGAATCTGAAGTTCTGCTAGGATTCTTTTTTTTTTTTTTTTTTTTTTTTGATACCTAATGGTTTCCATGCAGTTAATTTAAAAAGGAACTAATACTTATTCAGTGACTCGGGCTAAAACTAGACATTTTTACATATGTATGTTAGTGCCTGCAGCAACCCTCTGAAATAGGTATTATTCACTTTTTTTTTCAGATGACAAAACTAAAGAAAACAAAATAACTTGTTCAATATTACTTTCTGGAGCACCTCACACCAAAACTAATTAAGCTACAAGGTGTTTACTTATTTTAGAAGGAAATACTGGTTCAGATGTTCTAGCCAATAGAATCACCCAGATAAGAAAAAAGTGTATAGTTTTGCATTTCTTGAGCAGGATGGATGTTAGAGACATCTTGTCCAGAAATGTAGAAAGCTCCAAGCAGCCTGGAAACTAACTCAATAGGCTGTTGATGGTTACACTTTAAGAGTTTTTTCAAATTGTCGTCAGTCCAGTAACTTGCCCTGAAAACTTTGGGTGGATCTTTTTTCTCACGTGCAGAGAAATAGCATTGAGGACCAATTATCTCAGGTAAGCAAATATTTCCTCTCTGCAGGAGAATAGCAACTTGTATCCACCCAGAAGTTTTACCTACACCCGCATTATATAGAGATGGTAGATAAAGAAGAACCAGGAACAAACTCTGGCTCAGAATGAGATCCTTACAACCCAAGGGACCTCACTTTACTCCTTTCATGTTAGTGTTGATATTATTTGATTTCCACAGGTAAACAACTACAGAGAAGAGCTGTGGATATTTCAGTCTAGTACCCTACCTCGCCCCGACCCCCTAACCCCTGTAATCCCATATTTGTCATACCGAAATTAGTCATCTTCAAATTATAGAATCTGGCAAAAGGCATAACAACAGAGTGTTGGTGATATGCACACTCACAGGAAACAGGAAGAGAAAGGCCTGTGAACTCATGACCCAGAAAAGAGAGTTTTATTAACTTTGCTTAGCTGGTGCTTCTGAGAGTAACTCCCTGCTCTTAGTGGTCTGGTCTCCTCCCTCCCTTATTCTTTGTTATAAAATGGCTTTTTATTTCAATTCAGTAGGATCTTGAACTACTGGTTGGAACACAGCTTAGAAAATAGAAAAGAAAGGGCCTCCATCTTCTTTGAGAGCTACAGAATATAATTTGGAATTCTGAGATTTGGCTAATAAAATTCTGAAACAAAAAGTTTTACTTCCTCTTTCTACCTTAGTTGTCTTTCCTTTACTTTGTTGTTCTTTGTAAAAAATCTTTTATTGGAGAGAATTTTAAAATATGCAAAAGTACAGAAAATAGTTTAATGATATGTGATAGACCATCAACTAGCTTGAACAATCATCACCTCTTGATCAATCTTGTTTCATATGTATGTCCACCCATTCCTTCTACCCCATATTATTTTAAACCAATTTATACAAAATGAGGGTGATAATATCTGCCTCAAAACATTAGGGTGGGCCGGGCACTCTCTGGGAGGCCAAGGTGGGCGGATTGCTCAAGGTCAGGAGTTCAAAACCAGCCTGAGCAAGAGCAAGACCTGTCTCTACTATAAATAGAAACAAATTAATTGGCCAACTAATATATATATGTAGAAAAAATGAGCGGGGCATGGCGGTGCATGCCTGTAGTCCCAGCTACTCGGGAGGCTGAGGCAGGAGGATCACTTGAGACCAGGAGTTTGAGGTTGCTGTGAGCTAGGCTGACGCCACCGCACTCACTCTAGCCTGGGCAACAAAGTGAGATTCTGTCTCAAAAAACGAACAAACAAACAAAATTAGGATAATTACATGAAATGTGTAAACTGAACAGAAAGGTACTAGTAATACTTGTAAACTCCATTGATTTTCCCAAGAAAACTACAAGAGAAACAAACTATTCGAATTGTAACATCTTACTTGATTTTGTAATATTTAAGTTTCCTCCCCATCCCCCATTTCTTTCAACAACGTAAAGACAGAGTACTTGTACTTTCTTTTGAGAATTTTATTATGTCCTTGGGATAATTCTTGAGTTTTAAGATAAAACAAAATCATTAGGATTAAGAATAAGTGTTATTGTCCTGGTACATTTTGAAAAATGGTAATATATTCTCTCAGAATACATCAGTGGTAAAGGAAAAAAAAGAGGAAAAAATGGTAATATAAATTACTTATATTTTTCTGATAAGAAAATATTTGGAATTTATTTTTTTCTAATTGGGGAACTTTGTGGACAATCCTCACTAAATGAATGATAGAACCTGCAATTTAGGCCAGGCACGGTGACTCACACCTGTAATCCTAGCACTCTGGGAGGCCGAGGCGGGAGGATCCCTCAAGATCAGGAGTTTGAAACCAGCCTGAGCAAGAGCAAGACCCCGTCTCTACTAAAAAAAATAGAAAGAAATTAATTGGCCAACTAAAATATATAGAAAAAATTAGCCAGGCATGGTGGCACATGCCTGTAGTCCCAGCTACTTGGGAGGCTGAAGCAGGAGGATGGCTTGAGCCCAGGAGTTTGAGGTTGCTGTGAGCTAGGCTGATGCCATGGCATTCTAGCCTGGACAACAGAGTGAGACTATGTCTCAAAATAATAAATGAATAATAAAAAAATAAAAAACTCTGCAATTTAAGAAGTCAAATTAGAAAGTGAGACTATGAAATTGAGAGCAACCATAGAAAATAAGAAACAAGCCACAATCTGTGGAGGCATTAAACATCTCCTAGTAGGATACACCATATTCTTGAAGTGAAAAACAGAGAAAGGGAAGATGTTTGAAAATAGTCTTAACCCAAGAGAGGAAGAGATGAATGGGGGTGCAGTGGGGATATTTAAGGAGAAAATAATTCCAGAGACTTAAATATTCTGTATTATTATTTTCTTGTTTCTTACGACGTAGATGCCTTATTGGAGGAACTGGAACGCTCCACCCTCCAGGACAGTGATGAATATTCCAGCCCAGCTCCTCTTCCCTTGGATCAGCTTTCCAGAAAGGAGAATAACCTCAAAGAGTCTTCAAATAATCTTTCTGTTAAGGATAATAAAAGTCCTTTGCCGGTAACTTTACATTTATTGTAGTACCTTAAATATAGATGTTTGAGTGCATTTCTGAAAATTAATTGTATATCCTCCACAATATGGTATGAAAGGAGAAATCATATATCCAAGAAAGAGAAAAAAATAATATCTCAATGTCAATTTAGAGATGGTTGTTTTGGGAAAGAGGAGGAGAATTGAGAAAATTGCTACGGAAGAACAAGCCTTTGAGAATTAAATTTTTTTCTAATGAGGGCATGGTCACAGGTAGGGTGTTGCCTGATTCACTTGGGATACTCTGATGTCAGAGATGCGTGTTGCAGTTTGACTGGAAAGGCACTCAGTAAGGCCGGAGATCACCTGAGTCAAATGGCAGCTCAGACAAGTCTTCTCATGGTGACTTTTCAGGGTCTTCTCATGGTGACCTTTCTAGGTCTTATTTTCTGTTGAATACATTAGGAAATTCAATTGTTAGTATTCCCAGAGATAATGAAGCCCTAAGAAACCAACTCAAGCTAAGCAAACTCACAAGAGGTGATGTATATATATATTTTTAAAAAGTCAAATTTATTAATTATGGTTATAGTTGAAACTATTAAGTAAAACAGATCTTAGTATTTGCTGATATATGTATTCTCATCCTATGGATAAATCCACACGAAATGACATCATGATCAGGTTACCGATGAGATGAGAATGGAATTAGTGTAAGAGGAATTAAGTGGATGCTGTTCATAGCTGGTATATATTTGAACTGTGATATTCTGATTCATCCTTGTACAGTATGAGGAATAACTAGAAGGACAGATCTGAAATTTGAGCTCAGGGGTAGATTCCTCCTCTGCCAGCTTTTTCCTCCAGGCACATACACACAATTTTAAAGATACTTGTTCATCTCTCTGCTGGGGAGCTATTGTATTTGTTTTCATTGTTAGATTGTAGCCATAGGCTCCTAACTGGTCTCCTGCTCTTGCCCCACTGTAGTCCACTCTCAAGATAGCAGCCAGGGTCATCCTTTAAAACTTAATGTATGGTACTCGGGTGACAAACACCTTGAATGCCCTAAATTGATCACTACACATTACATACAGGTATTAAAATCTCTTCTGAAGCCCATAAATTTGCACAAATAAAAATAAATAAATAAATGAACTTAATTCAGACCCTGTCATTCTTCTACTCAAAACCCCACAATGACTTCCCATTGCATTCCTTGTAAAAGCCGCAGTCTTACATTGATCGTTGTGGTGTGACCATACGTCCTGGTTTACAAACCCGGGTTTATGCTTGTTTTTCTGACATCTTATTGACTTTACTTCTACTCCTGGTTTTCAGGGGTTTTTTGAAGCTTTTTCATTAGTTTTTGCATTAAAGTAAGCCAGCAATGGCTTAACAGACCTCTATTTGGTTCTTTTGTCTTCTTCCACGGTCTCATCTAGTAATGTGTAAAACACATGCCATGAACAGAGTTCTCACTTTATGATGGCTAAATCCAAAAGGTGACTGATGATAGCTCATCTCTTTCCCTGATCCTGTTCAGATAAAACTTAACTAAGAAGCAGCTTTTCAAGGATAATATTCAGGGTGCTGGCTGTTCAACTTAAAAGCTCAAGCACACCAGTCAGGGACACCTAACCCCTCTGATCTTAGGTGGTGGCAGAAAAAATGTTGAGGCTTTTTTCCCTGCTGGACACTTGGCCACCACTCGTAGCCTGTCATGGTCCACGTGGTGGCCTGTGAGATGCATGGAGCCTCCTCAGAGTCAGTGAGAAATAGGAAATAGATTGCTTGACATGGTGTAAGGAACCTGCAGCCTTCTGATTTTAAGATTGTTCTTTTTTAAGTACCAAAGGAGGCAAGAAAAGCTTTATTTTTCTCTGCTGCACCCCTTTTAATAAAGGGATTTGTTCTGTAAAATTTTGAGTCAGTCAAAAGGCCACACTGAAGGATCCAGAAAGCCACATGTGGCCCCAAATCCGCAGGTTTCCCACCCCCATAACTCTTCAGCAGTCAGCTCAACACAAAACCAAAACCAAAACATGTTTAATTTTCTTAAGAAAGCTGATGATGAATGTGTGACTTGCACAAAATATTTGTCAACGTTTACCATCCACCGCAGGGGCAAGTAGACAGATCACTGAGCCTTTGAAAATCAGAAGGCACAAATATGATGTGGATACACAGGTATCTACTTCCACAGTTTATACTTATTCTAGAAACAATGTGCCTGAAGATAGCAACTCAACATGTGCAGCTGCAGGAAGGTGTGTTTCCATGTCATTGTGAAACTCACCTTTCCATTTGTGTCAAATGACTCATCTAAATTAATTTTGCTTGTTTTCAGTTACAATTTTTCTTGTGCTTGTAAATAAATGGGTTGATTCCTATTGAAAACCATTCAATAATGTCAGTTTTATGTTAGTGTCACCAGAACCTCAGTTAGAAAATGTGTTAATTCCAAAGTGGCTCAATTTTGCTTTTCATCCAATTCAAAGGATTAACGTAAAACGTGGAAGTTCATTCTCTGGTCAGAAATGAAACATCCAACGTTGTTAATGCCCTTGTAAATTTAGTTGACAAGTTCAATATTATAGATAAAATGTTGGTGAGAATATGAATACAAATGTTGGTGGAGCACAGGACTGTAGTAAAAACAATGTTCTTAACAACTAAAAAAACGTATGGAGCTTAAATGTATTTGGAATTGGTTGTAATGTGTGCAAAATTTATGACTACATCCAAACAAGCTATAGTATTCTACCAATCAAAATAGAAACTGTAATTGTCAAAATTTACAAAAATTGTATACATACACAGATTATATATGTAACTGACCCACAAAACTTTTGTGATAGAAGCTAATATCAAACACTGTACAAACATTTTAGCATGGCTGTATATATTTTCTCTGTGTTGCCTGTCGTCAGTTAGATTTTGCAAATGCCTGAGCCTTTGAAAAAATACTTTGTAAAGCAACCCAAATTTAGGATGCACTATGTGCAAAACAGTTGGAAATCGTTAATCAAATTATGCAATGTATATGGCATGAAAATTTAGCTTTTGAAGTCTTTAGCAAATTATAATCATGGAAAATAAAGCTTGCAAAAAGGAAGAAGCTCAAATTTCTCCCTACAAAAGCTGAGGAGGAATTGAACACATCAAAAGGTGAAATCTGATATGGTTTAATTACCTAATTTGAAAATTATGCTTCAGAAAAATGTTGACTTTGATAAATTTCACTTCTAATTTTAATTGGATCAATTCTTTTTTTCCACCAGAATGGAATCAAATTGTAAAAGGCTATGATTTCGGTGTATCTGTGTTTGGTGAAATGTTCAAAAGAATCACAGAGACAGCTTGAAAGTTTTGTCTTATAAGACTATTATTGAGTAAAGGTGCTCCGAATGAAGGCAGAAGGCTGCACCTATAAAAATATTGGCCTGAAATATTTATACATTTTAATATAAAAAATGGAACTTAGAAGATTATTTAGCAAAATTTGCTCTGAACTTACAGGTTCATCAATATCTAGAAAGGATTCATTTTCTCAATAAAAAACATTATGGTCTACAGAGAAACATCAATTAAAAGTATCAACAATTTAAAATATATTAACCATAAAATGCAGCTTTGAAGAAGATTGTGATTTTATGAAAACAATAACACCTTATTGAAAAAAAAAACACATGTTGCAGAAAAATGTTCACATCACAATGTTAGAGACAATGGCCAAGTAACCAATTAAAGTATGTGACTGTATATCAAGAATACTTATTTATATCATTTAAAAAATGTTCAAATAATCATTATGATTTTTTTATTTTATTTTTTTAATATTCATAGGTTTGTGTCATTTAAAAATATTTTAGGAAAAGTTTATTTTGAAAATATATTTTGAATAGAATTATTTTATAGGTCTATCAAGATAATAAAACTAAATTTTTTGTCAATAAATACATATTTCAGAAATTATATACTATGAATTATTTTTAGATTCCCCCCACTTCACTCTCAAAAGTGTCACAGTTTGAACAGTAAATTATATGGTCGCCCTGTCTGCATAATCTAGCTCCTTTTACTCTCTGCTCCTATCTCCCTGGTTCACTCTGCTAGGGCCACAGTGGCCTCCTGGTTGTTCTACGGATGTTTCAGGGTGCTTTCTCTGCTGTTCCTTCCACCTGGATCATGTTACGCCAGATATCTGCTTACTTTCCTCACCTACTATAAGTCCTTGCTCAAGTGACCTCTTCTCAGTGAGTCTTTCTCTGATCAATATATTTATAATTGCCATCTCTCCCCTTCTTCCTATCTTCCACCCCCTGATTAACTTTACATATTAATTTTTTTATTATGTTTCTCATCACCAGAATGTAAGCTCTGGGGTAGTCAGTTTTTATTTGATTGTTTTGTTTTATTTTTTGACTCTTACATCGCCAGCCCTGACATATGACAAGCACTCAATAAATATTTGTCCAATAAATAAATGAATTGCTGGCCAACCACCCTTTAGATTCACATATTATTTATTTTCATATGTCAGGTTTAATTGTGTTACAGTCTTCCCCTAGGCACCATCCCATCGAGTTAAAGGGGATTTTCTTCAACCCAATTTGTTTGTTTTATGATTTCTACCTGAGGATGGTCTGCTTCTCCAGTAAATATTTGGTCTCTTAAATCTAGGAGACCAAGACTTCAATAGAAATACAAGTGAATGCATGGACAGATAACATGAAACCAGCCCAACCAACAGCCTATCTGGCACTGTGATCAGTTGAAGGCACACCACCACTAACTTACTGACACCCTCTTCCTTATAGTATGGGTCTCTGGCTTATTTCTTATCACTTCTTCCCCCTTGCTCTGTATGCTGGGGGAGCTGACCCCTTGCAGGTTTTTAGGCAAGGAGGAGCTGCTAGTATTTGTTTATATGCCAACTACTCTGTTTAGAAGCTGGCCTTTCTCTGCAGAGTGACTGGTAATTCCTCTGGCTTATGAAAGGAGATCTCAGAGATATGCAAGTT